TAAAACGGTTTCGTAACAAATGAGGTTGAGCGCATATCCCTCTAACTACACAAACCACGCTAGGCTTCTAGACCAAAAAGGAATACGACTCCGCATATCTCGTCTAAGCAGTCACTATCCTGTTCCTCTGATCATTCTACTAATACATATTTAACGACAACTCAATGCAAGCGTTAGCGCACGCTGATTTCGCATTTTATTATCATAATCAATTGCAGTACAGCAATGAATACCACTTGTTGATGCAGTCATCTTCCTACGGCTGGATTACTTCTTACCCCACATAAACTTCAGTTACGTAAATTCGAATACACTCATCGCTAAGAGACTCTATTTACTCTAATGCGGCTTATCAGAACATCATATTTCACTGTTCTTCATTCTCATATTCAATTGGCACTACAGACCAATTTCTATTATATTCTACATTACTTATTTCCACGATTTATTCCGCTGTCATACCCATAAACAATTTATTGCTCTATTTTCACGATAGTTCGAATTGCTCATACAAACATGTTATTTTATCATCCGGACAGTCTCAACATAAATGCATGTTAAATTTTTTGTACGCTTACTAATTTACTCATAATCACATGCCAACATTTCCATTTCTGTCCTCATTTTGACAATTTTCATGTACATTTTCACATAAGTGTGACATTTTCGTTTAATAAACTCGCCCCTCGATTGACACTGTAACATATTCGATATAGTACAATTTTTTTCTCTACCTATTATTAACGTTATCCATATGCCATTTCAGTGTTATTTTCAAATTAATGTGCTAATACTTTAATTTTGGTTTGTGAACGCATATACACCTCCTCCCCCTTGTTTATTTTGCATAACAGTGTTTCCTCCGGACACTCTGGGGGGAGCTATGTGGGGAGTAGTGTAACGTCGTGTACTATATTACACCTACATAGCTTATTCTAGTTTCTGGACAAGCCAATTCACCTATAACGTTATGAGTCATGTTTTGATCTTGTTAATTATTCGCTTATTGACCTTGACTATTTTTTTATATGAGCGTATGTGTATGCACACTTCTTATCCTACCTATCACATGTCTGTCATTTATTTTAGCCTGACTATAAATGTTGATTAATGCTTGCTTATAACGAGTTGGCTTCCCAGCCATCTCCACTATGCGTCATCTTTCCTTCGCTTGCTTGCATTTGCTAATGTGCTCACTGCCTTCTAGCCCATGTTATTTATCAATAAAAATGTAGTTGCTGCTTCCCTTTGTCTTCTGATATTATACACCGTTCAGATTGCTATAATAACGGTTATCAAGACGACCGATTAACGAAGCACTACACTACAGGACCCTCTTTAATCAAGTGAACCCACTCGTGGTAGTTATCTCGAAATTAGCCTACAAGTAACACTGAATTCATAACGATTGTTATCACTGTGTTATTTCATATACCATTTTGTTGTATGTGCTATTTTTACCGTTTTGCTTTACTCATAAAGACACACTGGTTTCTGGTGTTAATATTTGTTGTATACCGTCAGTAACTGTTAGTATTGTTTTATCTTGAATAAGTTCCTTCACTCGGATCCACCACAAACGGAATTTCTTTGGAAACTCACCCGCCAACTGAAACGACGCGCCCTCGAAACAGTGACGGAATTCAGAAATAATCATGGTTAGTTCCATCGTTTTGCCAGATAATTTACTATGCTTATGATGCCCTGTAACACGTGTATATTTGCACTCAAACTAGCCCCACATATTGTTTCATACGAGCGTAACTCTGAAACCCTTTTGTGAAACAAGATGTATTTGATTTCACGCGACTACATACTGTTATGAAACATTGTGTTGTTTTTAGATGATGAATATTAGGTTCAATAATAATTTCATGTTTCTCAATTGTGCTGACGGTCATTTATACGTGCTTAAGAGTGTCATCCTTGAGTTAAGGAATATTACTGCACAACGTGTTAAGGTAACTCAGAATCACTAACGTGGAGGTTTTCTAAACCAACAAAAGTATTCAGCAGCTAAAAAATTACGCCTATTTTCCAATAACTAATTCCCAATCCACACAAGATCAAGCTGTAATTGATAGTTTGTGGATACCACCATAACTGACCGTCAGGAATTGATATTCACGTAGTACAAATGACAAAACTGGCGAAGCTATTAACAGGAATCCGGTCCATAAATAGATTAATATTTATCATTAATTTGTGTTGTTTTCTTGTGATTAGTTGTACCCAACATAAATGACGTCGGTATATTTTTCTGTCAGTTCCTCAGCTAGTAAAAAGCTTGGAATTTTTAAAGTTCGTTCAGAGGACTGGGGACATTGTAGTTGTTCTGATCCTAACCACACAATCCTCAAAGAAGAACATAAGGCAACTGAGGTAATAGATATTCAACATTTAACACAGACAAGGTCAATAATGAAAAACTCGGGGATATTCGAAAATTAAATCGGATGGCATGACTCAACTTGGCAGACGGGGTCATTCTGTATAACTTATATTTACTGATATTAAATATTTTATTTTATCTTCGACCTAAATGTGTTCTTCGGAAGTACTAAGTATCGTGCTGTTAATTGTTACGATAAGATGAGTCAATGTAGACAACGATGTGACTTCCACGTATGACATTGTAGATCGGGTAGTCACATCATGACATATCTACAATTTGAGGATTCGGTCTATTAATACAGCGGTACTTCTGACGAGCTTAGGCTATATTTCTATAACATACTCACTTGCTCAAAAATCGGTGTGATCAGGTGAAAAAATATCCTTTATTGTGAAAGCATCACCGTCATATTTATAGAAGGACTGACAAGAAGTTCATACGTCTAACATAAAAATAATTTCAGAGTTATGCTTCCATTGTATGACACATATGATCTCTCTGATGATCACATGTATAGCTAACACCACACCAGATTGCGACCATTTACTTAAGTCTGTCCTCAATAATTAAAAACAGCCCACTTAAGAGCACTAATATGAATAACTGGCTCACTATGTAATCGGCACATATAGAACCGATATCATGCAATGTCAAAAAATTACTGGCAGGCCCTCTAACGTTTAAGTCTATTTAATATTTTAGTTTCCCCTGATTTTTGATTCTATTCCGTAATTTGTAATTGCTGTAGAGGAAACAGCTCTACATTTACTGATTAGGATTAGCAATCTGTTAATTTCGTAAAATACAAATCTGGGTTCTAGTATGTATTTCGTCGATACAAAAGGTGATAATTCTTGTGTTTGACACAAGATAATAATTTTCACTGAGTATCTCGATTTAACATTTAGCTTCCATGTTATTTTCTCTGTATCCCGCAAGGTGGAATGAGCTACAGCAATGTGTTCACATAGGATATATGTGTTACTTGTGTTACTTGCAGTTGCAGAACGTTTACAATTGCAAGTAACACATGTTTGATGTGGTGGATCGTTTTGGTAGTCTAAAAGGAAATAGGGACGGTATAGACACCTCGGATACGAATGTTCATTGAAATAGAACGTTACTCGAAAAATTTCATATCAGTGTGAACCCGCTGGAAGTAGACTGACCAAGTGACTCGATTTAGTGCGCGACCTTGAGTTTTCAATGGCCATCTTCAATAACCAGAACATGTAATAAAAATTTAGTGAACACACTGAAAGCTGGGCCGTAAAATCGAATGGGCTTCTTAAGGTCAGTGGAATAATCGGAGTATGGACAACTGATAGTGATTGATTCAACATAAGTGTGGCCATGAGAGAAATTCTCTAAAGTCAATGATCTGAATACATAGTGAACCAGTTATTCATGTTAGTGTTCCTAATATGAGGTCCTGATCCAACTCTCAATCACTCAAGTTGAGTAGTTACGGATTTATCACACAATAATTCTGTGAAATTTCATTGTTTACTAGAGTCTTCTTCACAATACAACAATATAGGTATTATTTCCGGACGGCGACAAAAGTAATAGGCTTTTTCAGGACGAATTTGTAGAGTATTTTACATGTACTATTATTTCATAATTATCAAATGACTAGATGGATGAATATTGATATTCCTTGTGTCATAAGCTTTTGACTGACTCATTAAACACTGTTATATGACTTACTATTCTTAATATATTGCCAGTTTACTATTCACAGTCTCCATTACTCACAGGCTTTCTTGGCTTCATCGTGGACAATTGTCGTTTTCATTTTACGATGTGGTATTTGATCTGCTTGTATATAAACAAAAAAATGTCTGAAACATACAAACGGTCTTGGACTGGTGATCATTAGTTTGTGTTTTTCTCCCTGTTTAAGACTGGTTATTATCTGGCCAATAGTCAAGCACAGAGTACAGCCTTTCTTGTCCTTGCCGCATACTAATTGCTCATGGGCGTCTAAGCATACTGGTCGGTTTTAGGGTGTGATAATGCACACATGAGTAGACGACCGTATACCGAGCTGCAAAAGAACCTGTCACAGCATTGTAGATCCCACTGAACTGGTAATGAAGACTTGTGAAACTATCTGTTCTTTTTACTTTGTCAAATGAGCAATTTCTAAAACGTACAGGCATTTAGTGTTAACGCCGAAAACGAGAATGCAATTTCTACCTGAGTTTTCATTTACAGCATCTTTATATATCCTATGTGAACACATTGCTGTAGCTCATTCCACCTTGCGGGATACAGAGAAAATAACATGGAAGCTAAATGTTAAATCGAGATACTCAGTGAAAATTATTATCTTGTGTCAAACACAAGAATTATCACCTTTTGTATCGACGAAATACATACTAGAACCCAGATTTGTATTTTACGAAATTAACAGATTGCTAATCCTAATCAGTAAATGTAGAGCTGTTTCCTCTACAGCAATTACAAATTACGGAATAGAATCAAAAATCAGGGGAAACTAAAATATTAAATAGACTTAAACGTTAGAGGGCCTGCCAGTAATTTTTTGACAATGCATAATATTGGTGGGGGGTTATGTTGTTTTTGCGCGCTAAACAGTGGTCTATGAAACTCAGGCGATAATTTAACAGGATAGTAACAGTGATACAGATGGCACATAACGATGGTGAACTTATGGTTGTTTGCTTTCTGAACTCTTATGAGTACAATAGGCCAGCGTGTTTTATTATATGAGAGAGGGGTATCCTTTTCACGCTCTTGTTGCTTTGAACGTTGCTCATAAGAAATATCCGAACGAACCATTTATCAAGCTACTTACTAGTATTCTACTAGTGGCAGAAGGTTATATTTTCTCATCTGTTAAGTTTTTAAGGCTCTTTACAAGAAGCGTTGAGGTGCTTCAATGAGCTCAAGAACAGGGAGGAGTTTTCTCTTGCGTCTCTAATATCAATTGAGTATTTGCATACGGAACTGCCCAAAATATGTAGTTTCAGTTACAACATCATTAATGTTGAATTTATTTTAGACCAGGATGTAGTAGAAGAATGTGAGGACAGGATAAGGGAGTTGAGAAGGCATGCTACTGACAGAGTTATCCTCATATAATTTATTTATTGATATTTTCATTTTATAGTCACTTTATTTTGGTGCTTTAGTACTGTTTTTCTTTAAAAAATACGACAAGGCCAGGGAATACTCTGAAAAGGCACTTAAAATCAATCCGTGTTCCAAGGAGGTGTGTCGAATTACAGTTTTTATAAGTCCAAATAATCTTTCACCTACTCTCAGATATTGTGTCTGAATGGATGGATCGGATTAATGTGTGAGGATGAAGATTTTCAAAAGAAGACCGTGAAGTATTTTGACGAATCTGAGTGGTATGAATTGAACTGTTTTGTAACTAAATATTAAGTAGTGATGATGAAACTATGTCGATTGAGCGTTTGATGGGTAGAATAAAATATTTACAATTCTCGAAGTCATTCTCGTCTGCCTTGGATGTGGTGAACATTTTAGTAGTAAAATTTCCGTGTTATGTCCCTGGTTTAATTGAAAAGATGAGGATTCAACTTGCACTTCAAGACTGGGAATCAGCTTCAGACACTGCTACAAGGCATGAAATTATTTTAAATTTAACAAACAATATTTAGATGTCTGTCAATCGACCCTACGTGTATAGAGGCTTTAAAGTTTCAAATTTTGTACTTTCTGTGTTACGAAGGGAATACTAGTGCAGTAAGCATAACATGAGCCTATTTTAGCTATTTGTTAGGCACTGAAAAAGCTGGAGGAGCTTAAAAATGTACTTGAAATATCGGAACCAAAGACATCAAATCAGTATTCATCGATTTCTAAACTGATATCCCTAATCGTAAGTTTAACTTTAATTATGGTTCGCCGTCAAAAACAGCTAGCTCATAGGGATATGGACTATATGGTTTATCTAACAATGAATTTATTGGTCTTATTTAATGATTTCAGTGTGGTCGTGAGCCTACAATACTGCAGAAGGTTCAAGAACTATGCGAGAAAGCAGTTGAACTTACTCCTAGAAACTATCATTACTTGATTAACTTGGGCCATATTGTTCTCATGCAGGGTAAACTTAAAGAGTCAGTCCAACATTTCCGGAACGCGATAAATTTATGCGAAACAAGCTTTGATGGTCTAAAAGGTGATAAATAGTTTTTATACATTCATATTTAAATGTCACCAGTTATAGTGTTTCAGTAATATCATAAGCTCTAAAGGAGACCACTACTAATAGTGTATATATAATTTAAAACATCTGAACCTTGTCTTACAGTGATTAGTACAGATTTAATTTATCCAACTGTTTATATGTGGGACTGAATTTTGTTTATATTTTGTTACTATGTGTGCAAATTTGTTCTGCATAGCTATTTTTTCCTACAAATGTTTTGTAGAATAGATGAATTTGTGATTAGTAGTGGAACCCAGAACTAGAGTCCCGTCCTATTTAGAACTCGTCAGCCGAATGTACTTGCATGGACTGCACTGCTTAAAATGCGAAAATTCTGACAGACATCGACCAAAATTTAATCAAGACAGCTAACAATGCAAATCCTTTTCGTCAGTAGTGTGAATATATCGTACCTGTAGTGAAAGCGAGTGACTAGCCGGACTCTACAGCTTATTTGATAGCATTTTGATCATTTAAAGTGAATACTTCTGGGTTTGGACTCCTGCTTTGGGATCAACACTGGTATTCGTTTATATTCAGTACCAGTACCAAATAGGACGAAACGTGTGTCCTGAATAAAGGTATTAGCTGCAAGTCAATTCATTCCACAAAAACCTCCAAAGGTTTCTTCTTTTACTCCATTAACTGCCATTTACAACTCATCCTAAAGTTTAGGCGAAGAGCTGAAAGTTGTTTTCTCGAGAGATTCTCTTAGAAATAACTAAATATACAGTGGACTTGACACTTATATAAACAATACAAACAAGACAAATGAAAGCTTTGGCTACTGTGTCATTTAAACTACCCGAATCAATGTACATATTACAAAAGTCAATCGTATTTTTAGTGCCAATCAATTTTTATGATCGAGACAAAATTTACGCATTTTGAGTAATAACCTAAATAATGCTTGTTCACATTAAACTTAATTGTAAATGAGAATTCTAATAACTGTTACTAACATGGTAAGACGAATATTTGCTCAAGTTAACTAACAGATACATCCCATAAAATTACCCTGGGCCATTATAGATTCCGACTTAAAATGTCAGATATGTGAAGCATATTCGAATAGGTGGATCATGCATCAAATAGCAAATAGCACAAACCACAGTTATCACAACCTTTAAAAGCTACTTTATGTGCCCAAAACATGTTTTTTTACTCACAGATTACCAAGGAAAGCACTTTGTTGTTCAACGATTCTAAATAGTCCGGAAACAGAAATGAATTTTATTTAACAACATTTTAATTATTTGTAAAATGATCTTGTTTAGTCACAATAACCTCGAAATAACTTACTTATTTCTTCAGCTGTTGTTCAGTGCCAACTTCTTCAAAACAACCTACAAGAGGCCTCAACACAATTGGAGTTTTTGAGCGAGCTACAACCGACTATTGGAAAATCTTCAGTGAGTAAATCTTTAAAGAATGAGTCTTTAGCAAATAATTTTGGATAGAGTAAGGATTTTGGAAGAAATTCTAAGCATAAACGATAGAAATTTTACTGTATTGAGTTTATTTTATAAGGAAAACAAAAAATCACTATTTTGGAAGTTGGTTACTCTGAATAAATCTAAGAAATATGCATCATCTTAACTAGGTTGCAGTATGTCATCAAAAGACATTCTATGGGAGATCAATGCCACTTATCATGACTTAACAAGTCTTGGTCACTTTTCGAGTACAGGAATATATAATTTTTCTAACAGGTTTTATGCATACAACATATAAAAAATATGGGTTCACCATACATCTTGAGTCTTTAGTATCAAAACTAACTCAACTGCTTCGTTTATCACTTTAATGAAAAACTGTCTATATTTTAGTCTGATTCACTTACATACAATAGAAGCAATAAACTCCTAAATAGTTGAGTCGTGTATTGCAATTAACACGGACGTTTTCCTCTATACCACATTTTTACTTATCACTGAAGAATATAAATAGTAATTTGTTACTTTAATGAAATCCACTTTATTGTAGAATTAATCTTAATTGCTTGTTGTAACTAAATTCCTACAGAAAGCAAGTCCTAGATGAAGGCGATAAACTGTTATTTTCAAATTGTTCAATTAGTTCTGGTTGTTTTTAAAATTTCATTCGCATTTCGTCAGTCGAACAGTAACTAATCATATAAAGGCAAATGGTAAACGATGTGAAATATTTCTGATATCAGCAATCCAAAAGCCTTTCACTCATCTTCAATAGTATATACAACCAGTGCTGGTGATTCAAGCTTATAAAGTAGCATAGATATAGTCTTCTAAAATAATACCAAAAAGAGAATGCATTTGGTTTTATTATCCGAGGGGTGAGTTGCTGCCCTGAGAGCTCAGTAGAAATGCTTCGGACTGCGAAGCTGCGTGACACGGATTGAGTCCATCAAGGAGCGTCAGTTTCCTCAAAATTTCAGGTATATCACGCTGATTAGTGCAAAATTGCATGAAACCTAGGTCCAGATCATCCTGTCGACTACCTTTAACCGCCCCACTTATATTCTTCAAAATGTTGTGTTTGAAATCTGATGCTGATACACGATGTACCATGAGCTAACCTTCCGACTGACTACACGAATGAAAACACAGGAGTGAGTGGAAATACATATTTAACTACCGAATGATATATACAAACACTCATATATATATATATATCCCTTAGGAGATCAATCCATTTCCCAACCAATGATATGAACTTGTCCTCCAGGTGGATTCTGATTGGCTTGCCATATCACAAAACCTCCTTTATACCCATCGATTAGCCAGGAAAGTTTCGAGCAGTGAATATATACTACGTTTCTAAAACTGACAAGCTTGGGACCTAAATAAAGTGAGCTCCTAAGAATACTGGAAGTGACTTAAAACTCTTAGCAAGATTTAGAAAGTTATAACTTACTTGAAATGAGGGCTCCAATATGCTACAGTCTTATAACTTTAAGGAAGTTGGCCCAGTACACTTACGTGAAATCCAGCAACCTGTATAAATAATTATTTGTATCAGATGTAACATTGTGTTAATAGATGAAGACAGAATTTACGAAAGTGAGACTAATAGGCTGCAATATTTAGAAATACTGTAGCAAAAAGTTGTAAATTTCTCATAGATAAAATCTATTGTATCATAAAATTCGAATGACTGTATCTGAACTTGAAATCCACTTACTATTAGCTCCTATTTTATTAAATAGGAAGTGAGCTACATGGTCTCAGTACTCAGACGCAGACAAGGTTTATCACCATCGCAAATACTAACGCCGTTGAATGAAGCTATGGAATTGCAGCTTCATAAACTTCGGGTAAGCAATAAATTGGATACATGTACTTTTATGTTCTTCATCCAAATCCACTATTGTTAGACCTACATATTACTTGCAGCTGTGTATAGTAGTAGTGTGAGGTCAAGAATGACATTGGCCATTCAGTACACTTTTTTAGAAGACCTCTCATATCAAGATAGTGTTGAGCTACATGTACCTCAAGAAATCATGAAAACGCTAGTATGAAAGTTCTACTGTTTCCACAATTTGTTTGGTTCATTTATTGATATATGATGTAAAATTATCGCAGTTTCAATGGGATTAGATTCTGTTATTTTTAAACAAGAAATTTTCAAGAGTTTGCTTCATAAACTAACGTCAGCTGAATAACTGATGGAAACCGACAAAGTGAATGATTACTATTAAAAAAATATAGAATTTTGGTTGACTAGTTAATTTCTTAATTGTATCTTGTTGAGTTTTGTATAGTTATTGCTTACATAATCAACACTAATCTAATACATAGGAAAAAAGTAATAATTGACTAATTTTGAAATTAATGACGGAGCAAGTTTATGTTTGAGTAGAGAATGCTCAATGTATTTTTAACTAGAAGTGGAAAGATGTACAGGAATAAATGAATGACAAAAGTAAACTAAGCACAAATAGGTGTATACTGGGGGAAATTACACAGTAATGAAGAGGATACAAGGAAATGTCTGGTCAAATTATTCATCATATTTCATAAACTGTATCTATAATTCAAATTCACCGGTACAATTCAGATTAGTAGTAAGAGAATCAATGAATTGGTTTTAAGTAATCATTTGGATGCCCTGATGCCTTTTTAAATCAGTTGCTAGAAAAGCTTTGACTTAACTTATATTTAACAGTGGATGTGATATGTACAGAACTCTAAAACCATATTTCTTACAATTCTGTTGATTAGGTGTATTTTTTTGTCTTCTCCCTTCTTTCTCCCATAATTTAAATTGATAGAAAAACCTATCGGTTGGGCAATTATCAACATATAATGAAAAATTTAACTGAACTTCATTTTTCTGTGATTCATTTTGCACATTTCGACATGTTTATTTTCCCGATTAATTCACTATTAAAATTACACCTACTTATCAGTAGTGTAAAACATATATCTAATTTATTAGACATACGTAATTTTTATTGTTATGACGATTGAATATTAAACGCTTTTCTGTTTTTAGAATGTCAGTTTGAGCCTTGAATATTATGAACTGTTAAATCCAGACTTTCTCCTGCAAATTATCAGTGAGTATTTAATTCATGCACCACCTCAACCTTCAAATATTGGCAGTACATCTAGAATATTTAACGATATGGCATATATAAATGACCAATATGATTCAGTTCTTATGCGATGTTTACGTATTTTAGAACCATTGACACTTTCAGCCCCAGGTTTTCAAAAGGGAATATATCTTACAGCATATGTTCATTATATGTTAAGAAATACTACAATTGCAATATCTAATGTGAAAAAATGTTTAGAAGTAAATCCATCTTTTCTTGATGGTTATATTTTATTGGCAAAAGTGAGTTTAGTATAAGATTTCTTTATGATATAAAGCAATATTGCTTTACTTTTTTCGTTGGTCACATACAATGAAATCGTACTGTCTAGGTACCGGTGTAATGAATACATACATTATATTAAAAAAGGGGTATTTTGTTTAAATCTAAAAAACGTGTTCTGTTGTTTACTATAACTGGAATATTTGTTGAAAGATGTATACATGCCTTGAAATGTAATTAACAAGACAGTTAGATATTCGTATTAACATTTTTCTAATGTAAATACTTTTGCATATTCATGCAAACTGATATATGCAGATGAAGCTAGCGTATTACTTACTTACTTACTTACTTACGCCTGTTACTCCCAAAGGATCATAGGCCGACGACCAGCATTCTCCAACCCACTATGTCCTGGGCCTTCCTTTTCAATTCTATCCGACCTTTGTTCATTCTTCTCATGTGTCTCCATTTCTCGGTGTAATGTGTTCTTTGGTCTTCCTCTTTTCCTTTGGCCTTCAGGACTCCATGTGAGGCTTTGTCTTGTGACACAGTTGGGTGATTTCCTCAATGTATGTCCTGTCCACTTCTAGCGCTTCTTCCTGATTTCTTCCTCCACTGAAATCTGGTTTGTTCTCTCACACAGTAGCTTGTTGCTGATAGTGTCTGGCCAACAGATTCGAATTATATTACGTAGACAACTGTTAATAAACACTTGTATCTTCTGGATAATGGCCTTCGTAGTTCACCACGTCTCCGCCCCATATAGTAGAACTGTCTCGACATTTGTTTTGAAAATTCTGATCTTGGTGTTGGCCTACAATTGTTTTGAGTTCCAGATGTTCTTCAATTGTAAGTATGCTGCTCTTGCTTTGCCAATCCTAGCCCTCACATCTGCATCAGATTCACAGTGTTCATCGATGATGCTGCCCAGATATGTAAAGCTTTCCACATCTTCCAAAGCTTCTCCATCAAGTGTAATTTGATTGGTGCATGTTGTATTTTATCGGAGCGTCTTGCTTTTCCCTTTGTTTATATATAGCGGGTATTTATCTACTTTATTGAGCAGAATATAATGGAAATAAATTTGCAGCGTAATATGTACTTTTTTAATGATCCCTTTCGATCTTTGAGTTTATTCATGACTAAATTACCTATGGTTCTTATTTAGATAAAAATACATTCATTTTTAGGTTTATGTACTTCCGTAGTATTAAAGTGTTACATACTATTATTTATTTATATATTTGTTTATTCTTTCGATTTTCGAAACAGGCTAATCATTCAACATTACTTATCTTATTAGTTAGTATTTAGCTGAAGAAAATTTACTGAAATGCACTGAATTCATAACACTCCACAAATTAATATCGTTCTTGCTTAATTTAACTCAACTAAAAGAGTAACTCCTTCGATATATCATCGGTTCAAGTATCAATATCATTCTATCAATGTAATTGTGATAAAAATAGGGTATGAAAGTGTTAAATTGAGATATACTTCATTACCTGTAATTTTGTGATTTAGTCACAAAGTTAGTGGGCAATCTGGAATCATAAAAGGATAACATTCCTCAATGTTTAGTATTTATCTAAATTAAAATTGGATCTTAATACATTTGCTAAAAATAAAATCCACATTATATACAAACTGATCAAAGTAAATGTTATATTCTTTAGTTCAGATTTTGTTTACCTACAATTTACACAATGTAACTGGAAATGATTTTTTACATTGGAAAGGTACACTTTGATAAGAAGGTAATAATGAAAATCATCTTTACATACGTAACTAATAAGTTATGTTAACCAGAAAAATAAGTGTTAAAAATGAGAAGTAAAGATGATTTACACTTTATTTAGGTATATCATCTGTAAGATAATAAATTTATTATTATGCATGGAATTCGAATAATTCTCAGCTTATATTATATGTTCCATTACTATTTTCAACATAATTGTATTTCTACTTAACTGTATTATTCTAAACAAATTCCTTCTGTTTTATTATAAGTTGGCTGACAACTGTTCTTTGACTTGTCATTCCCATAATACATGGTTTCCTTTCTTCTCAATGGTTATAGAAAAACTTATTGGAAACATAGTCAATAGTTAAAAGAGACTTTGATATGAAGTTAGAATACTTCAATCGGTAGTAAATATCTTGTAAGAAGATCAGTGTGAAATTGATTTTTATAATGATGTTTTATAAAGTAGACTATTATCAATTAGAAGGTGGTTGAAAATCATGTAATACCAGACAAACGTCTCACACTTATTTAGTGTTTCACTTGGTATTATACACAAGATTATCTACGCAAAGACTTTACAGTGAAAAATTTACCATTTAGATAATTTGTAAGGATAGGATAACTGACAATTCTTAATGTCAGTATACAACTAAATCGTCATATAATATCGCTCAGTCAGAATCACCTTTGACATCAATCTTATTCGTATTATATATTTTAGACACATTAGAATAATTGTTATGTTTATATTAATTCTCTTAATTGTAAGGTGACATCTGAACAAATTTCTTCCGTGATAAAAACCCGAATCGCTTTCGTTTCATAAAATAAATCAATGTCAGTTTTTCGACTCTTTTGTCCTAGCTTTACTAATACAGATAAAAGATAGAGTAGAGTAAATAACTTATAGGTAATTTCATTTACATAGTACCATTTTTTACCTTATCAAGAATGAGAAAAATGATCTTATCAGAATAATATCGATTCTTCGTCTTTTGTTAGATCTTTATCATCTAGTTGCAGCCTGTGTTACTTATCTATCAAAATGAAAAAAAATTGAACTTTAACATAATTTAGTGAAATCAAACTGGTTAAGTGTTATTGTAATTATGTATTAGTGTAGTGAACAAAACACGAATGGGGACAATCGAATGCATTTTGGCACAACATTACAGAATATCTCATGAAAATATGAGAAACATTTGATGAACAGTTAATTTGCAAAATAACAATCAATTGTCTCAATTTGACTGTTTCTTCTGCAAATATCCGCCAATAGTCTCCGATTATAATTGTTCATGCATTTTTGTACCAATCGCGTGCCGTTTCCGTTCTCTTCTTATCGATCTTCTACTGAGATACATTCAATGCCCAACCATCACCAAATACTACTTATGTGGATATCAGTACCCCACACCACATTAGTATTGGGGAGCAGAAATTTGTGAAATTCAAACGGAATATAAATGAACAAATAATATTTTAAAAGTGAATATCATATTGAAGTAGGCTCTAGAAAATTTGTTGCTATATATATATATATATATATATATATATATATATAACGACGAATCTCTGAGTCGCAACCAATATCCTATTCATGCGGTGATTAGTAGTGATCAAAGTCTACTGACGCTAATCAATATGATGCGAAAATGGGTGGAACTATTTAAAATTTTAAGTGATTAGACTCAGTCTACAGGAAACCATTAGCCTGTACTTTGTATTAGAAGTTATTTTTTTATCACTTTAATTCCTAATGAAACACTGAGTAAACAAAATCATTATCTTTCTCTACTTATTACCTTTTTTCATTGATAAAGATACTGAAAAAAATATTTTTTTGTAAGTGAAATAAATTTGGAAACTTTATTTCACTGGATTATACTCCTTCAATAACATCTTCAAACCCTAATCTTTTACATTATTGCTTATACTCTTACTACCTCTACCACTATGGGATTTGAATCGACAACTGCATCTCTGTTCTAATGTGGTATGGCAATTCGAACTGATGTATGTGCGTACGAAGTTCTATGTTGTGACTGACTGACTGACTGAAATAAAGTTTGCATTTTCTTATAATACAGCATTTATTTTTACAACAACTTTTATTTTAGTCCTTTGTAATTAGATTATATTCTAATCCCATATTTTGTGTAGTCATATGTCAAACATTGAGAATCCATTAAGTAGTATATAAATTATTTTCATGAAATGATTATTACTTATGTGAATTACACGTGCATTATCATAGAACCTATTGTATTCCAGAGGTGTTTCATTTTTGAAAATATAAAAGATGAGTTTTTTACAAGTAATATATTATGCGTGTTTAGATAAGCATAATATTAAAGAACGATGAAATGTACAACATATTCATCGTAACCATTATGAATAAAACGTGTGTAAAATATCAAATTTAATGGAGTTGGACAAAAGAAACTCTTTTTCGAACCTATCTCTCAAGTCCTATTCTATTAATAACTTTCTTGAAATATATCTTCAAAACAATCAGAAACAAACATAACCAATGCAGAACATAGTAATAGTTTATAACAAGAACTTCCACAGTCATATTAAAGAGTTAATAGTCTTCTTAGTCAATAATCATTAATCTCATCACTGAACAACAATAAACTTTGTTGTACTACTAATATTTTGCATTTATATTCAAGTTGATAAAGTTTATAGCAATTCTTGTCAGTTCAGATAAATTACACTGTAGTTTAAGTATGTAAATGTTTAAGGCTGAGAAAAATGATCCTATCTATTAGATATATGAATGTAAATAGAGTGTAAGTAACCCCAAATAATGAACCTAAAAAATGCTAACATAAAGGGAGATATACTTAATACAGAATACAATTCTTTGTTTATATAGTACCTATATATATCTTTGAATTGACCAAAAAGGTTTAGTATAAGAAATATTAGTAAGTCTAATGTTTGAAATGAGAATTATTTCATATCAGCGTATTTCAATTTTCAAATATTTTCCTGAAACATATCATGGAGACTAAATGAAGTCTGGCATGTAGTGATACATAAACACTGGTAATACATGATTTGAAATGTATTATAAAAAGCTTATGAAACTAATTAACAAGCAATTTTGTGTGTATTATTTATCAGTAACAATGATGCATATATATATATATATATGTTGTATCAGCTCTGAAGGAGTTTACTCCTAAATCTATTTGTTTATTGACCATTAGTAGTGACGAGGAACTTCTAAAGATAAGCTGATTTTTAGACGGCAATTCA